AATTTAGACCAAAAGTTTTGGAAGCCGTCCTTGAAATACCAGATGGTATTCTCTGAATTTTGTATGAATTTTAAGAAGTAGGCAGCAGGTATATCATCTTGGACATAACCATAACCGGCAGAAGTGTAAGCTAGGTTCCATGCATCCAGTAAATATTCCATCTTTCGGTCTTTCAGGTATTGCGTGATTGGTGCGTACAGCATATTTTCCGAGAGGTCACCGTGACCCGGCAACGAAATGTCTTCAAAAGCTTTTCTCTCCTCCAGATAGTGAGTCATGTTTTCCAGGAATGGTTTGGTGAGAATTCCAATTTGATCAACATTTTCCGTTATGAATTTGTTAGAATCGAAATCCAGTGAACTTCCGTTAAACTTCTCCATTGGACAATTAAATTCCTCGGCCAAGGATCTTATGTTTGTGTAGTTGTGACCTATCATTAGAGCTCCAACATCATAATTTCGATTTTCGTGTGTAAAGGTAGAACTTTTTCCGGCTATGTGAGAGGAGGATTCCAGTAGGGTGATATTTGAGTAGCCTTCTTTGCGGAGAAAGTGAGCCATCGAAATTCCAGCAGGTCCGGCGCCGATTATACCGATACGAGCATCTCGTGAAATAGGAGTTTTATACGAGGTTACTTTTGTTGTTTGAGACATCGTAAACTTTTTACAAGTGAGAATTAAAGAAAAAAAGTAATTTGTAAATTCGTCAAGTAGAAAAAATAATTGGCTCGCGTGAAATGTTAAATAAATAGTAAAGGGGAATGTAAATTCGCTTCTTTTATTAAAAAAAAAAAAAAAAAAAAATTCAGCAATTCAAAATCTCTCAAAGACTTGAATTAAGATGTTCTTCTCGGTGGATTAAAGAGTAAAAGGTATTAAAAAAGAAAAAGACGATCGAAAGTTTTCTTAACAGTCGTCGTCAAAAAGAAAATTTGAAAAAAAGAAGAGAATTTGTTTGCGAATTGTGTATTGTTTGAGAAAACCGGTGGCCTTTAATATTTTTTTCATTTTCGCCTACAGCCGTAACAAGAAACCGAGAACTTGGAAAGGTCGTCAAATTTTGGAAAGACATGACTGGCGATAAGCAATGGCGGATTCAAAAATTCAGATTGTTTTCACGTTATGTTAATGAAAGACAATTATTATTATTCCTTTTTTTTTATTTGCATTATCCCAAATATATTCTGTTATTGCGTAGTCGTCACACGTTAACATACACAATGTAACATTCACATTAAGACCCATATTTGGATTGTATGGATAATGTACTATGCGCGTTAAATCTCAGTATAATATGTGTGGATAATCGAAAGTTTAACCGTCGACCATTCGTTCAGCTTGGCCGTGAAACAACCGAAAATTGTACTTCCCCCAAAAACCTCACAGGTATTATCAGGTTAAAATTACTTATGTATATTGCAAAATGAAATAAAACCGATCTTTCAGATTTTGGATAAATTATCAAACCAGAGCGACGTCTTTATTTTGCATAAATGATAGGATTTTCATATTCTTTCGTCTGACTGATATTATTCAAAACTTAATATTGTTATCATCATAAGTTTTATATTGTCCAAAAAACGTTTTCCCCTTTTGTGCAAGTTAATGTAACACAAGGAGTGCACAAAAAAAGCAATTCGCTGGATGTATTGTCTTTGACAAATCAAAGTTTTCATTAGTCTAGTCTGCGCATTATGCATTGTATCCCTTATGTAAGTTAAAAACACTAGGCATTTTGACATACCATTGACTATACAGGCAATTAACAAATAAGTTAATGTATGGAGCTATATGCCAGGTTCAAATAACAGATTAGGTACGTGCGTGCAAGGGACTCCCTTGCACGCACGTACCTAATCTAGTGTAATGCGCCGGCTAAGCCAACCAATTTAGGTGCTTGTGTAATAATAGCCGGCCAGGTCGGCTTGATTAATATACATACATAATTGGTTAGTAATTATTAAAAAATATGATAATAGTTATCTCGACTTTAAATATGTATATATATTTTTATTTTATCTTTACTCAAATTTTAATGATAATGAATTCTAACACAGCTTCTTCTGATTTAGAAAATTTCAACGAAATCAATGAGTCAAATTCATCTTTATTTTCGAAATCACCTCTTATCACTAATTATGAATCTACCGAAACTTCTGTTTATACAATTCATAATATTGATAGTAATAATGAAGAAAATACATGTACTTTTACAACCGATTCATAAATTGGTCGGCTTAGCCGGCGCATTACACTAGCAAGGGAAGTATCATTATTCTTAAACTAGAAAGTACCCCAGCAATATTTTTTTTAAAATGAACACTTATGTACCGTCGCCAGTATTTCTTGCTGCCAAGTGTAACATAAAATTAAGACAATGTATATAATAGTCGCATATATTTCGGTACACTTATAATCCTGACCTCTCGCCTAACCCAGATAGAAAACAGATATCTACCCTTTTATAAAACCAATATTAACGCAGAGATGATCTAAATGCTGTACGATCGATCGGAATATATTTTACTTAAAGGCGCACTTTACGCAATCCCACTGCACTGTTGAATATTTTGCATTGTCTGCAGAATAAGATGTGCTACATATTATTAAATGTTACAGTGTCTCACGTTAATTAAATTAATATTGTTACACGAAATAACAGGAGATTGGGATCACGTGTAATTTAAAATAAATATTACAGAAAGAAGGGAGCAGTCGCATTACCAGAAAAATTCATGATATGTTCATTATTAGAAAAAAAAATAAGGAGGCGCATTCAATCATAACTAATTAGGTCAACGCGTTAACCGTTTCGTGCATTAGTGTCAGCTGGCAATTCAAAATATTTTGATTGTGATTCCTTAATCCAATTAAAGCAGAATGAAAGATGCATGGTAATTCGTTGCGGAAGAAACAAACATCCTCAAGATGAAAAAAAAGGGAAGGAGGGGAGAAAAGAAAAGGCAATGATTAGTTGATGACAATAGAAAGACAGTGACATACACATTGGGAGTGCATATTAACTTAATTCCAGTGGCGGCAGCGAGAATGCTGTATGGACATAATAAGTCAAAAATAAACAAACAAGAAGAATGGCTAAGGGATGAAACAATATTAAAATGTTCTTTTTTTCTTTTTCATAGTTCTCAAGAGAGCGATGTCATGATTCGTGCAGCGAAGTGCAATCGCCAACTCGTTGATATTTTCTTTTTTCTTTTTCTTTTTTATTGTTATTATAGAACTAATCTACTTAACGATCATCTTCCGAAGTTATGACAACCTTGCTGCATGCACTTTTAGCGTAATCCTTTTCTTTGTAACCCTTTAAAGTAACAATTGTACGGATGATTGTATGAAGTTAAAGTACTTATGGCATTTTAAAAGGAATGTGCATGTCAGTGATCTCGACCTCATTGTGAAAGCTACCATACTGTATTACGAAGAAACATACAGTATAATCTTAAGCTCGCGAAAAAATGCACCACTAAAAAAAAAAAATAGTATTATTCCGATTTATCAATAAAATTAGAATTGTTAATTTATAAAGTAACCAACCTCGGAGGTTGCGTATAAAACCAAATATGGTAATGTGAACAGTGGGAAAAAAAATGCCACTTTCCAAATATATCAAAAATAAAAAATCACAAAAAATTAGCTAAGCATTGTACTCATCAGAAGAATCTATGTAAGCCCTTAACGAAAAATTCAATTATGAATTATGAACGCTAACAATGATTACATCATTATTTGTGAACTCGTTTTTTTTTCTTTTAAATAATAAATATATATATATATAGATATTTCCTTTTATATGTACAGTACGTACTCTAAGTAATTACAAGATACAACAATTATAATTACTTACAGTCTATAATGAAAAATCCCACGTACCTGGCTCAAAATTTCAATTTCAAAATACTTGGTTTTTTTTTTTTTTCCAAGCTTAAATAGTTCATACACCCCTAAATTAAAATATTTTCGGGATAATTTCTACTCTAAAAAATACTGTATAATATAAATATACTTTTACATTTACTATTATCATTCGATGATAACTCCTGTTTCGATATTAATTACCTTAATTTACTTTTATGATAAAAATGTATCATAACCTAATAAATAGTGAAATAATATTGAGAAGCGTTTTAAGTATTGGCGGAGTTTTTGTTTTAAAAATTTAAATTATCGTTATTGATTTAAATTAGTTTTATTAGTCTTTTTAATTAAACTAAACATGAAATACTGTAAAAGTAATAAAAAAATTTTTTTTTGAATTTTTAAACAATCTTTTTTGACGTTCGCATACAATGTATTTTATATATTAATATTCCTATCAATATTCGGTCAAATTTACTAGAAAATTTGTTATTACAAAATATTAAATAATTACGACGTACCGTATATAGAGATAATATTATCTCAAACTTATATACTGTACGTACAATAGATTATATTAATTATTTTTTTGTAAAATAGAAATTCGTTGTTTAATATTAATCATTAAGCCATGCGATAAACTAAAAAAATTCAAAAAAATAAAATATGAAATCCAAAATATTATTATTAATTAATGAACAATACTGTATATGACAAAAAATATAATCCTTTTTGCTGATTCTTTTGTTAGTTCAATAATAAAACATTTAAGAAAAATTTGTTATTTTTTTATAATAATATTTTTATTTAATATTTTTTCACTTGTTTTTTTTTTTTTGAAATATACCTTCTGTATTTTTATAAGTAGATATAAACTTTATTTTAAAAAAACATGTTAAATAAATAAATATATATATTTCAAAAGTTTAATATTCAAAAAAAGATAAATATGATTTTTAAAACTTTTTTTATCTTTTTCAGGCTTTTTTCTTTTTTTCTAAGCAAATAAAAAAATGTTTTTTTATTTTTCTGAAAAGTTTTTTGCATATCTCAAATTAATCTTAATTTGATTATATTAAAATTCTTGAATAATAATTGATCAAAAACTTGAATTTATTAATTAATATATAACAAAAAATATAAATATAATATTTTTTTTTGAATAGATAAATATCATTACTTTATTAATCATAAAATTGTTTAAAATTTATATATAAAGAAAGCAATAACATCTCTTATATAACTTGC